AAGTTTGGTGCCAGGACCTTCTTAGCATCTGGTGAGAGCTTTCTCACTGAGCCATGGCATGGCAAATGGTATCATGGGGCAAGACAGTTTGCATCCCAGAAAAAAGATGATTTCGACAACAAAGCCACTCCCATATTATCCATGAGGCCACTAATGAGAACACTCATGAGCCAGTTACTTCCCAAAAGTCCTATGGCATTGGAGACAGAATTTCCAATGCGTGAGTTTTGAGGTCATAGATTTAAACCACAGCAGTTGTGTATAATTCTTATAACACATTGTTCTATTTTATTAGCTAATGTCTTATTGAGAATTTTTATATCTCTGATTAAGAGAGCTATCAGTCTGTAGTTTTCCTTTCTTAATATCTTCGTTTAGTTTGGGTGTAAGGGTAATGCTGGCCTCAGAATCAGGTAGAATATGTTCCCTTTTGTTCTACAATAATCCCTCCTATCTCTTAAAATACTGCTGTCATTTGTTTCATATATCCATAAGCCATAATCATGGAATGCATAAAACATTTTGTTTTACCTTCCTTTATTACTTTTCTAACTCACTACCTTTCTGAATATAAATCCAAGTTTCTGACCTGTATGATGTTCCTTTTCTCAGAACAATTTCTGTTACCACTTTTTCCAAGGCAGACCTACTGGCAACAAAAAATGCCTTCAATTTTTATTTGTCTGAAAGTTGTTCTTTTTCCATTGTTATGTTATTGATTCCTTTTGGTGTAAAGTCCAAACCAAGGGGCACTGCACCACCAACCAATGTCCCTGTCCCCTTTTTTCTTTTCAGACAGGGTCTCACTAAGTTTTCCAACTGGGGCTTAAAATGTCATCCTCCTGCCTTAGTTTCCCCAAGTGCTGGGAGATTATAGGCATGTGCTGCCACATCCAGATTCTACTTCATTTTTGAAAGATAATTCCGCTGAATACAGAATTCTGGCTTCTGGTTTTTACATCACTGATTCTTATCAGAACCCTAGGGCTTGAATCGAGACAGGAGGGTATTGTGTTACCTAGTTTAGCAGGTGAAAAATCATGGGGGTAAAGAGCCAATTTGTGGTCACTTTGTGATTGAGTCAGGACTAGAATCTGGCTAGGTCAACTCCTGTTCTCCAATCCTCCGATTTTGTTATGAGACACCTTTATCTTTTTTTTTTTTTTTTCAGATACCCTTGCCTTAATGTCCAATGGGCAGGCTGCCTGCCTCTATGGATCATGTCTTATGTCCATTTCATGATCTGTGCAGTCCCAGCACTCCAAAGCTGTCTGTCCTACTGTGATACATTTGCAAGCTTTGCCTGCAAACAACATTATGGCAACAAATAGGGAGAATTGGAATGATCTAGAAATATAGCTTGTTACCATGGAAGCAGACATGTGCCATTAGAAGTACTCTGAGTAGGTAAGAATAATGTTCTGAAGAATATAGAGAAAATAAATCAATATATCTAAAAGCTTATAAAACTCAGCAGGGGTTACTGTTTCTGCTCTGTGGCAAGATGCTTACTTCAAGTATAGATGATCTTAACTCCATAGCATTTTCTTTCTAGAAGCTGGAATAAAAAAACAGTGGCCTGAAGTGAAATCAGAGGTCATGACAAACATAGAATCAAGGCTTAGAGGTCCATGTTGAAAATCCTAAAAATTATTTACTGCCCATAATGAGCTATGCCTAGAACAAGTAAGAGCCCGTCTATTGCTGAGCTAATGCACTCATTAGCCCTCTGTGGGTGATATGATACACTCTAATGGCAACCTTGTGTGTACTCATGTGTCTTCTTCCCCTGCCTCAAGGGCTATGGCAAATGTTTACTAAGCAGAAGCTCTCTGAGAGCTCTTCTGTGACCCAAGATAAAATGGCAAAAGCACTTTGAACCTCTGTGTCACTAAGTGCTCTTCATGCTATGGCCATTTGACAGGGAAAACGAAGAAAAAGTTGTGTAACTCCTTACCTCACATTGTATACCAAAATCTATATCAGATTAGTTACAGATTTAAAAATGAAATAAGAAAAGCTATAAAAATATACCTATATAATATTATATTAGGGAAGGACTAACCAAGCATGACATTAAAAGCAGTGCCATATAGATAAAGACTATTCTATCTAATGACATGTAAGTAAAGTCTTTTATCCAACAGTACCATGTTTAATGCTGCATTCTAAAAACTTATTTGGGGAAGTATATAAAAATGTACACTTGTAAAAACATTAACTATAGCATTGTTCATAATAATGAAAAAGTAAGAAAAAACCTAAATGTCCATCAGAAATGATTGCATAGAATTTGAAGCTGGGCATGGTGGCACATGCCTGTAATCCCAGCACTGCTGAGGCAGGAGGATCATTTTGAGCTTGAGACCATCCTGGGCTACAACATGAGCTCAAGGCCAGCCTGAACACCATAGTGAGACCCTGTCTCAAAAAGACAAAGAAAAAAGATATTGATACATTTATATTAAAAATAACAATGTAGAAATATAGTTTGCAGGCTGGGAAGATAGCTTGGTGGTCTAAGTGCCTGCTTGTCAAGCAAAGGACCCGAGTTCAGTCCGTGGTACCGCATGGCATGCTGGCCACTGAAACTAACTACTAATCCCAGCGTTGGGGAGGCTGAGACAGGATGATCACTATGAGTCCAAGCTGCATAGTGAGACCCTATACCAAATAAATAAATGATTTTTTAAAATTAAAATAAATAATAGTTATTGACATAGAAAGGGTTATTAAATATTTTGAATTTGGTCCCATTTTGTAAAAATAAATATGTATAGGAAATTTCTAGATATGCATAAAATGTTAATCATGCTTATTTATGGGTACTTTAGTGGGCTATTTTTCCTTTGGTTCCTCATTTTATGTACTATGTACATGTGATGCATGTAATGTATATGCATGCCACTGTAAGATTTTCTGGTATAAAAATAATAGATTTTTTTTAAATTTTAGGACAGGGTGTTCAGGGTCTTACTGTGTAGCTCAGACTCATAGTAATCCTCCTGTTTACAGCCTCCCAAGTGCTGGGATTACAGGCACAAACCACTTGGCAGCTGTGGTTTGCTTTCCTCACACCCTACTTTGACGTTTGCTATAACCATGCTAACCCATAAGCAGCCAAAATTGCCGAACTCTTGGCCTGGCCTAGCACACCTTGACTATCAGGGCAGGGTGGCTGCCACAACTGTCATCTTGCTGCTCTCCAACACTGAAGCAGCTCACCAGCTCACTGCAGGGGCTGAAGTCTTTCTGGGTAACTCCTTCCCCAAACAGCTTCCTTGTTCAAGGAGGAAGCCATTCTCAGGTTAGCCTGCTGCGTCTTAGTGGTGTCTGTGTGGGTGTGCTTGCCTGACAGACTTTCTTCCGTATACATTCTCAAGAATTCTCAGTGCTGTTAAAAAAAAAAAAAACATAAAGGATAGGTTGCAAGAACAGAAGACAAGGACTGGAAGAAGGGATTGGATATAGTTCAGCAGAGAGTGCATGCCTCATATACATAAGGCCCTGGGTTCTATCTCCAGCTCAAAAAAAAAAAAAAAAAAAAAACTAGGAAGGGAATAAAGGAGAAAAAAAGGACTATATGAGAATGGAGATTCATGCCCTTCAGAACCGAGGGTTGCTCACCCCTACTTTGAACACACAGTGCCTAGTCTTGCCTAGGATGCCTGATACTGTGCACAATACCCAACTGCTGCACATAAGCTGCTTTGTCAGAGCATCAGCACAGACATGGGATTTCTAAGGGACTTGTGCCTTTCTGATGTCCAGGCCACAGATTTCTGGCTCCTGACATAACCTGCTCTCATAGGTAGAGATAATTCCAGGTTTTATAAAGTGTAGAATAATACACAAATGTTTGGTGTTCTTTTTGTAAGCTCCTGAAGGCATTGACAGTGGTATAATGTTTGTTTGTTTTTCATGTATTTAGTACAGGGTCTCATTATACAGCTGGGACTCACAGTGATCCTCCTGTTTTCAGCCTCCTCAGTGCTGGGATTACAGGCGTGCACCACCATGCCTGGTCTTGGGTGGCCCCCCTGGGGCATGGCAGGCACAACAAGTGGTGCTGTGAATCAAACCCAGCCCCTGTGCTTAAGCATGTGCTTAGTTCATTGAGCTATCTCACACACCCACCAGTGGTTTAATGTTATACAATATGGTCGTCATGGGAGTTTGGAACAGATTTGAAATACCTGTATCTAAAGAATGTCAGATTCATCTGTAGAATGCAAAGAATTAAATCACTAGGAGGGGGAAAAATAACTGTGTGAGAGAGACCTAAAGCATGTGTCTAGGAAATAGTTGTCACCTCACTATATTAGGAATGTCTTGGGTTTTCTGAGTGCTCTCTATTTCTTTCCCGAAGAGCAGTTCCCAAGAAAATGCTTGTGATTTCACTGCTGATGAGACTGCTGATGTTTTCCTTAAAGCATCCATTAAGTTGTGGTACATGATAGTGGGAGCGCATGTGGCCCCGTGTGCGTGTATTGTGGTCATACTCTTCACAGCTACCAAATGAAGTTGTGGTAAGGAAATGACTGAGAAGCACATGGCTGCTGCTCTCCTCCATCTGTGAACACAGCTCCTTTTCCTTTCAGCTGCACCACGCAGATTCCACATTCGATCTCCACCTGCATGCGTGACTCTTCAACCTCGGGACTGGCAGGGTAAATGGAATGTCGTCCTAAGGTTGTTGAGTTGTGCGTTTCTGGGCATTTCATCTACATGAAGAAGTACCGATTCCTTCACCCCAAACACTGATGCAAAAAGATTTTTATTTCTAGAAAAGAGCCTTGCTTGTCATTTTTGTGACCTCAATAGTCAAGAAACAGACTGGGCAGACTTGAGAGCTGGGAAATACCTTGCCAAAAGCCTATGTAGCACCCTTAAATGTGTAGTTATATTGAGGGTTCCTCCTAGGGACTGTTTTACAGAAGAAGAATTTCCTGTTATTTTTCAGTGATTTAATTTTCCATTTTCTTTTTTTTTTCTAATAGGACCAGTCAAAAACAAGAAAAAGGGTAAGTCATGTCATTTCTAAAAGTAAAAGAATTTTTTTTAAAAAACAAACAAATAGGATTTTTTTATTTTCTTTCAACATTGATTGCTCATTATTTCCCTCAATCACATATGATCTGCTTGAGTATTGTAGTTTCTAAAGAACAAGAAGTGATTCTGTGGTGAAGATCCCCGAAAAGTAGGATGGATCCCTACTAACATGCAAATATGGTTCTGGCTTTTTTTTCTTATTACTTCCTCTGTATAATTGAATTTCAATCTCTTTCCATCAGTCTTCCTTACTCTTTCCCCTGCTTTTCTTTTCTCCTGTTTTCCTTCCTCTTTTGTCAAATCAGTAATCAGGCCCGTGTCAAAAGAAAAAGGTATATTGTCTGTGGAGAGATATCAGTACTTTAGTTCTTGGCCTAAAGTTACCATTATTTAATTTCTCAGACACTCAGAGAAGGTATTTTTTACTTTAGGCATTCAATATAATTTTTTCTATTACTGAAAAAATAGTCTGCAGTGTTACTCTGGGCCTTAGTCTCCTAAAGAAGCATCTATTTAGGCAACCTTCCTGGCTGCTGGTCTGTAAGCCTCCCCTTTCCCTGAGGTAGGATGAACCAAGGCCTTGAATGGGTGCCCACATACCTGAAGAGCAGAGAATCAAAGCCAAACAGCCACCACAGACAGGGCTAGGCAATAGGCCTGCTGCTTACAACCAAAAGAAGCAATTGTGAAGTCAGTTCATGTTCCTATTTATTTCTGGGTTTTCACCTGGGAGGAAACCAATGATTTTTCATTAAAATTATTTAAGTGAAATGATTCTACCTATTCAGATTTATGGGACTTCCTAGACTAGATTATCAATCCTAGGCTAGGTAAGAATGATGAGATGACTATAGGTATAGCATGCCGCTTCTCTGACCACTAGGGTATTCTGGTCCTTATGGAAAACTTGTGTCCCTGTTGTAAAAAACCTGACAAGTGGCTTGGCCTCCTGAGAACCTGGGCTGAGTAAGGTTAGAAAATACCCAGAGAAGCCGAGCAAGGTGGCACACTCCTGTAATCCCAGCACTCAGGAAGCTGAGACAGGCAGATGGTTGCAAATTCGAGACCAGTCTGGGCTGCAAAATGAGCTCAAGACCAGCCAGAACCAGATAGTGAGACCCTGTCTCAAAAAGACAGACAGACAGACAGACAGACAGACAGACAGACAGACAGAGACAGAGACAGAGAGAAAATATATCCAGAGAGCTGAAATCCATGAGGAAATCTTGCTCTTTGGGGCCTTGGCACGTACCATGAAGGTAGTCTATTTTTTAAGGAAGTAAATTTGATTTTCAAGCATTTAGTCTTAACTCTTGTTAAGACTAACTCCCTTTAAGACAGAAACTATAATTCAGATCACTGGCCAGCACTGCTACCTTGTATTTGGGATATTATTGGGGGAAGAGAATGCACATAGCCTTAAACATTCACTTTGGCTTATTTAGAAGCCATTTAATACAGATTTTCTTGCACTCAATGGGTAGGCACTTACTTGAAGAGGTAAATTGAGTTGTTAATTTTCAGCCTTTAATGGAATTGTCCTGTTCCCACAACTAATATATTCTCTCTCTCTCTCTCTCTCTCTCTCTCTCTCTCTCTCTCTCTCTCTCTCTCTCTCTCTCTCTCTCTCTCTCTCTCCCTCCCTCCCTCCCTCCCTCCCTCCCTCTCCTTGAGGTTTAACTAAAAGGTTAAAGAAATGGCCCCTTGATGAAGTTAGTTAGCTTTGATAGGAATGTGTGCATTCTTTCATCTAAGACTACACAAGGTGACTTTCTAACTACAAATGTCACTGGGCTTTCGTATCATGAAGTGTTCTGTTAAACAAAATTAGGCAATCTGCAGAAGGAAGTCAGTCCTGTAAAGTCGTGCCTGGTGTAGAGATCAGTCCACACCTCCTGTCCTCTGGTCCTAACTTTCTGTCTGAGTATGAGCAACACACCTGCCTGATTATAGGGAAGCTGACGCAGACCAGCTGCAGAACTAGATCACAGCAGGAGCTTTTCCTCACATGTCTTCTGACATGTTCAGAAGTGAACATTCTGTTTATACTGCAACCATTATTCTCTGGACTAGAGGAATTTCTGCCTGTAATTCTTCCAAAATTCCATCAAGCAGTTACAGACCATCCACATTCTTAAAGTTCAAGTGTGTGCTACCCACAGAGCACCCACTGGCTGGAAAATCTCTGGTAGGCCTGGAAATTCTGGGCCTTGGGATGGCCTACTAAAGCACCATCCTCTGTGTCTACTCTACCACAAAATAAGGTGGAGAAGCAAACCTTTGAGCCAGGCTAGGACACTTCCTGGGCCACTAAGCATAAGACAGGCCGGTGTCTTTATGAAAACGGCCTGGAGGAAACAGAGAAACCATCAAGGCCAAGCTCCTCATTTCACAGATGGTAAAACAAAGGCTCAAGGAGAGGAAGGGATTTGCCCAAAGTGTGTCTGTTGCAGAGCAGGGACCTACTTATACCCTTATCTCCTGAGTACAGATTCCTTGTTCTTTCCACTACACTAGCTAGAATTGAAACTTGGGCACTGAATCAGCCTCATTTGGAAGCTGCCTGAAACTGAAGGGAGATAGTTTTCCTGTTCTGCATCTTGCAGTTGGCTAGACCTAGCAAGTGGGCAGATGCAACCTTTTGCTGCCAGGTGCGGGCAAATGCTCAGGCTTGTACCTGTAGGTCTTTAAGGCTACAGGGACTCTATGGAAAACATTCTCCAGATCTTCTTTTTTTTTCCTCTCTGGGAAAGAGGCTCCACAAAACAAATGTGCTTAGACAGGGACAGTTGGCCTCCTGAGTGGCTTTACCATGAGGATTTGCTTTCTTGGATATGAGACATTATTTTTAAAGAGGGACCTGGCTGAGGCTAAGAAACAGAGAGTTGGCAAGAGTAAGCAAGTTTTAAAGTGTTGTATTTAAAACTAAAATGTTACCTGAACTGAGAACATTGTTAGTAAGTGTTTTATAAGACTTCCATTCCTGTCGCTTCCCCAAAATTGTGAGATGGCAAAGGGACAAAGAAGACAGAATTGTCTAAGCAGCTGCAGCCACTGAATGGGGCTGCACAGAACAGAGGAAGTCAACAGGAAGCCGTGGAGGCTCAGGTTCTAGACCACAGTTAGAATTCACTTCACGTGACTACCTCCTGGCGGGAATGTTGGAAGGACTGCAATATGAAGTAGGAGGGCTGAGACGGTTGAGGAAGGGTAATGAAGAGGAAGGAGGAGGATTTCGTGAGTACAGTGCATAGCAAAATCAAGAATAGGGCCTCTGCAAAAGGATGCTGGGATGTTAGATCGTTTAGCCTATAAAAATGGAGGTCGATAAGTAATCTAACATCTTTGAGTATATGAGAGTTATTATGTATAGGATGGTAACTATTCTTTTCTGTCTACCCAAAACTAGAATAAAAGTTTAAATGACACAGGAGGGATTTTAGTTGAGTATACCATGGAATTTTCTAACCATGAGCAATGAAGAGTGGTAAACATTGAACATGTTACCAAGGGCATTTGCAGAATTGCCTTTCCCAGAGATCTTTAAAAATAGAATGTAAAGAGATCAACTTAGAAAATCCTGCTGCCTCTTCCTTAGGCATCTCTAACTTTGCCTTCTTTCCCATTGTTTCTTAATATTCTCTCTCTCTCTCTCCCTCTCTCTCTCTCTCTCTCTCTCTC